GATGGTGCCCACCAGGCTCCATGGACGTGAGCCTCCAGTGGCCCTCCGTGCCATCCAGCTACAGGGCCAGGGTGTTGGCCCTCCCAGGTGGGTCTGCCGTCTCCTGGGGCTCTGAGTGGAGGTGGGGACTCAGCAGGAAGAGTTGGCCCAGAAGGAGTTCAGGGCTGGGGGGTGGCTGAGGAAAGGCTCTCATTTACAGGGTGGAGAATCCCTGAAGATCCGCCGGCGGAAGATGAACCGCCACAAGTACCGGAAGCTGGTGAAGAGAACGCGGTTCCTGCGGAGGAAGATCCGGGAAGGACGCCTGAAACGCAAGCAGGTGAGCGGCCGCCTGGTTGTTCCTGGGAGGGCAAAGTGCTGAGAACACGTTTATTTGCCACGAATTAATTGGCGGTTCCTCCCTCTGCCCCTTGCAGATCAAGTTCGAGAAAGACCTGAGGCGCATCTGGCTGAAGGCGGGGCTGAAGGAAGCCCCCGAAGGCTGGCAGACCCCCAACATCTACCTGCGGAGCAAATGAGTCTGGCGCCGCCCTCCCGCCCGTTGCTGCTGCGATCATCTAGTAATAAATGCTCAGAGGACTCGACCCTTCCTGCTGGTCTGGAGCCCCTTTTGCCTAGTGTGAGGTCTCTCAGGATTGAGGCTGGTGCCAGTCCCAGGTGTTGTAGAAGCCCCGGGCGCCAGGGTGGCAGATCGGCCCTCCGTCTGTCTAGCTGGCCCTTGGCCGCCGTCCAGAGGGTGCTGGGCCTGTGGGAGCCCCAGCCTCGCTGTGAGTGAATGTGTGCTGTGTGCAGCCCAGGCTAGGTGCTGTGGGATCACTGTGAAGAGAACCCACAGCCCCTCCCTGAGCACCACATTCCCTGGGGGAGGCCGACCCGGAGGGCAGAAGTACAGGGGAACAGGACTGGGGTTGAGGGAGCACCCAGAATGCACGGGGTGACTCAGGTGTATTTCATGAGTGGAGGGTCAGGGAGGGCCTCACTGGGAAGGCAGGAAAGGTCCTGGTACCACTGGTGGTGGTAGATGGTGCCCACCAGGCTCCATGGACGTGAGCCTCCAGTGGCCCTCCGTGCCATCCAGCTACAGGGCCAGGGTGTTGGCCCTCCCAGGTGGGTCTGCCGTCTCCTGGGGCTCTGAGTGGAGGTGGGGACTCAGCAGGAAGAGTTGGCCCAGAAGGAGTTCAGGGCTGGGGGGTGGCTGAGGAAAGGCTCTCATTTACAGGGTGGAGAATCCCTGAGGCTTAGGGTAAGCCATAGGCCTCCGGTGTCTCCAGGTTCCTCTGGGTGAAGAGAAGGAACACATTACTCCGTGTGTGTGTGTGTTTTTGAGACAGAGTCTCATTCCATCACCCAGGCTGGAGTGCAGTGGCGAGGTCTCAGCTCACTGCAGCCTCTCCCTCCCAGGTTCAAGTGATTCTCCTGCCTCAGCCTCCTGAATAGCTGGGATTACAGGTGCCCGCCACCACGCCTGGCTAATTTTTGTATTTTTATTAGACATGGGGTTTTACCATGTTCATCAGGATGGTCTTGATCTCCTGACCTCAAGTGATCTGCCTGCCTTGGCCTCCCAAAGTGCTGGGATTACAGGCGTGAGCCACCGCGCCCGGCTGGAACACGTTATTCCTAAGAGCGGGGGTGTGCAGGGGCCTTCGGAGTTGGGTAGCAGGACATGCAGGTGGACACCGGGAAGGTGCTGCAGCCCAGTCTCAGCCGCGCTGCCCCCAACAGCTCAGCAACAGGAGAGGAGGCCTTGCGTCCGCCCCAGGCGTTTGAGTGGAGGCCTTGGAGCTGCAGCCTCTCCCACCCCACCCCGTATGAAGGCTGGGCTGCCTCGCCAGAGACATGGGGGCCTCTTGTTTTATGTCACAGAAATGTGTCTGAGTCTCAAGCTTGAGTCCCTTGCCCATCAGACTTTGGGGAGGGCTTGAGCGCTGTTCCCAGCAGTTTCTCTAGAACAGGACGGACTTGTGGGTCACACACTGTCCGAGGAGTCGGGCCCTGGACGTGCCAGCCAGCGAGGTTAGCAGGCCTTGGCTGTGGGTCCCGATCTGCACGGAGGGGTCCGGAGGCCCTAGCGGGTGCAGGTGCACTTCCCCAGACCACCACACGGGGGCAGCAGCCAGGCTCCTGGGTCCAGGGCTGGGGACCAGGACAGGTGGCAGGAAGCATCTTGTGGGGCCCCAGCTGGGGTCACAGGCATCCTTCCTGTGTCTGTTTTCCAGCTGTGAAGGGGGCAGGTCCAGGGGCCCGAAACTCCTCCAGGGTGAAGCGGAACCCGCTCAGTGCCAAGCTGGCCTGCCAGCCTCCGTGCCCTTGCCTGCCACTGGCCACCTCTGCAGAGCCGCTGCCCTGCGTTCGCTTCCATCTGGCCTTGGGGAGCTGCTCCCGGGGGTACCGACCTCACTCGTGTGTGAGGGAGGAGACGTGGGAAGCTGAGTGGACCTGTCCGGAGTCCTAGCTGCAGAGTCAGCTGGGAGCAGAGTGTGGGGAGCAGCCCTACCCAGCGTCAGGTCAGCCTGAGACCGCCCGGCCTGCGCCCTCTCACCCTGCATGGGGCCGCTTGGGGTGTCCTGGGACGGCAGTCAGCCATGGCTTTGAGCCGCGTCTGGAGATGTCTGTGGCTGTCAGTGGGAAGTGCTGCTGGCATGGCGGGTGCAGGCTAGGAATGCTGACACGCAGCCTGCACATGAGGATGTCCCACCACGAACCCATCAGCCCACATGTCAGTGGCGGTGGGTACCCCTGCTCCAGACGTCACCATCCAGTGAGGTGTGCCTGGCGGATCCACCCCCAGCTCCGCATCCCAGGCGCCTCCTACAGGCCTGCACCCTGCCCAGCCTGCAGCGCTCACCCTGCCTTGGCTTGGAACCTTTGTGCCCAACACAACCTTGGGAAGCATTTTGGGTTTTATTTTTATCTCTGTGGCTGCTCCCAGGCCACAAGAGGCTGTCCCTCCCCTCTCTGCGGCTCCACCCTCCCCGCCTGTGAGATGCACCCTCTCCTGTCGCCTCCCTTGTTCTGGACCTGGATCACCTGGGCGAGGGGGATTAGAGGTGGGGTGGGGGGGCTGGGGCCTGTGGAGCTGCCAGCGACCTGCTCCTCCCGTAGCGTGTCCTGGTGGCCCAGAGCTTGGGTTCCAGCCAGGACTTGGCTCTGCTGGGATGGTCTTGGGCAGTGGGGATGGTGCCCAGCCTCAAGCCCAGGGTGGGATTCAGCAGTGCCTCGAGAATGGGCATGTTGGTGAACTCAGCCCCATGCTCTTCCCCTGGCTGCTGCGTCCCTGGCAGCGCGGTGTCTTCTGTGCCTTCCACTGGGCCGAGCCTGGGGCGCTGGGGCTGACCAGCTGCAGAGCTGTGCTTCAGAAGCTTTCAGGACCATGGGGAAGGCCCTCAGCTCCCACCCCGCGGTGCCCACCCAGGGACCTGCCTGCTTCAGAGCGTGTGTGTTGGGGGGCAGGGAGCAGCCACGTGTGGCCAGCAAGGCCCAGAACCTCCAGGGAGCCGAGCTGAGTCTCACTGTCCACGCCCTGTCTGAGGAGCATGCGGGCTGGTGGGGGCAACAGAGAGACCCTCGTGTACAGCGGAGTCTGGAAGGAACCTGGCTTCCCTGGGCTGGGCCAGGCCCCCCGAACCTCCCGGGAAGGGCACTGGGAGGGGGAAAGAACATTCCTGTCTCTCAGGCTGGGGGACTCTGGGTCCTGTTTCTGAATGCCATGGTTTTCGCATTCTTAGTGTACTACTTTTTTTTTTTTTTGATATGGAGTCTCGCTCTGTCGCCAGGCTGAAGGGTAGTGGTGCAATCTTGGCTCACTGCCACCTCCGCCTCCCAGACTCCAGAGATTCTCCTGCCTCAACCTCCTGAGCAGCTTGGACTACAGTTGTGTGCCACTGTGCCTGGCTGATTTTTGTATTTTTAGTAGAGATGAGGTTTCACCATGTTGGTTAGGCTGGTCTCGAACTCCTGACCTTGTGATCTGCCCACCTCGGCCTCCCACAGTGCTGGGATGACAGGCTGAGCCCCGCGCCCGAAACGGTTATTTCACTGACCACTGATTAGAATTAGCCATTTCATAGGCACGGACCCAAAGTACAGAGTTTAAACCATGAGCCATCCCTGAGTCTGTGTGATTCCTAAGCTTAATTGTAAAAATAAATTATTTTTATAAAAGTTATGCTTGTGGGCAAAGCACGGTGGCTCTTGCCTGTAATCCCAGCACTTTGGGAGGCCAAGGCGGGCGGATCACAAGGTCAGGAAATCGAGGCCATCCTGGCTAACACGGTAAACCCCGCTTCTAAAAATACAAAAATTAACCCAGCGTGTGCATGCACCTGGATCACCAGCTCTCGGAGGAAACGAGGGGAGAATGAAGAAAACAGTCCTCTTCCCCCATCCCCAGCACCACCCGTTCCCACCCGCAATTTTAGCCTTTTTTTTTTTTTTCTGAGACGGCCGCTCTGTGCCGGCCCAGTGCCCGCGATCTCGGCTCACCTCTGCGCGGCCAGGTCACCTGCCCTCTCTGCCTTCAGCCTCCCAAGTGCTGGGGACTTACAGGCCGCTGCCACCGTCGCGCCGTACAATTGGTTTGCATTTTTGGTAAGAACAGGCTTTACACACCATGTTAGTCAGATGCGTCTTGATCTCCTGCACCGCGTGAGCCGCCTGCCTCGCGCCTCGCCAAGAGTGCCTGGGATTAACAGGGCGTAGCCACCGCGGCCTAACCCATAACCTATTTTTACTTGTTTATTATTTTTATGTTCTATTGTATTTTCATGTTAGTTTTATGTTTTTTCTTGAGACGGAGTCTGGCTCTCTGTTGCCCCCTCGTGAGTGCAGTGCCGGACTCGCTCACTGCAAGCCGCCAGCACTCCCCGGTTCATAGCCTATTCTCCTGACCTCAGCCTCCCGAGTAGTCTGGGAGTACACAGCGCCCTCCACTGTTCGCCCCCTAAATTTTTTTTTGTATTTTATACGATGAGAGACCGGTTTCACTGGCCTGTTAGCCAGAGATGGTTCGATCCCTGAATCGTGATCCGCCGTATCTCAGCCATCCCAAAAGTGCCTGGGATTTTTACAGGCTTGAAGCCACCGCGCCCCGGCCTTATTTTTTTATTTTTCGAGACGGAGTCTCTCTCTGTCCGCGCAGGACTGGGTGCAGTGGCCCGATCCTCGCTCACCTGCAGCTCTGCCTCCCGGGTTCTCCGCCATTCTCCTGCCCCTTCATCCACCTGTAGCTGGGACAGTAAGCACCCGCCGGCGCACTGCGCCCGTGGCTAATTTGTATTTTCGTTTTGTAGGGGGAGGAGGAGCGGGTTCACCGCGTTAGCCACGAATGTCTCCGATCTCCCGCTGACGCGCGGTGAGTCCCTGCCTCCGCGCCGGCGCTGGCCAAAGGCTCCGATGAGCCGGCGCCGGGGCGGCTGAAGAAAATTTTTTTTTTAATTAGCCAGGTGTAGTTGTGCTTACTTGTGGTTCCAGATACTCAGAAGGCTGAGGTGGAAAGATCTGCTTGAGCCTGGGAGGTCGAACCTGCAGTGAGCCAATATCACACCACTGCAGTCCAGCCTGGGCAACGGAGTGAGACTCTGTCTCAAA